CCCGGACAAGCGGCAGATGATGGATGGATGGATGGATGTTTCTCCCAGCTGGCCTTTTTCGGCCTCTTTGGCTTGTCTGTTGCAGCGCAGTTAGAGATGCAGAATCTACCGCTTGGCCACACAGAAAACGGATGAGAGCTGAAGTTTGTTTCTGGAAAATGGTTATGTTTGTGCTCTGTCGTGAGCTTCCTCACAAATAGTACTACCTCTGTAACAGCAGCTGCAGTGCATGTCTAGCGATTCTGTGTGTGGTTGCGTTCTTATTTGACTGGCTTCTACCTGAGCGGCACTGAGGCCTGGCCAGCGTAATGGGTGGTGTGTGTTCACTGACACCTAGGCTCCATACAGTGTGGAGCTTGTCAGGCTGCAGATGTTTGAACAGCTGCATACACTGTGCATGTTTTTGTGGCTGCTTGTGAGCTTTGAAGGTCATATATGGTTCATATGCTACACTGAACTGTCCCTACAAGATGCAAAACCAGGAGCAAAAAAAAACCCTGAGAATATTTCCCTTGAGTGTTGGCCCTTTTAGGTTATTCATGACGTGCTATCTCATGTACCAGGGAGCCGTACAGTGCTCTAGTAATGAGTGTGTGTGGCCCAGCTAGTGGTAAATGGAGCAAGGCTGCGGTGAAGGGACAAGAAATATTTGCCTCTGGGGTGGGAGGTAGTTTGTAAAAGGGTGGTCAGTGTAAATGTGCTGCAGGATGACATGCAGGTGCGCTGCTCTTCATTTAAATCTTTCGGCCAGATTGTCATATCATAATATTTTTGATTAGAATCACGGTCCATGATATCGGTATTGATAGACCAAGATTATCTGTTGATTCTGCGGTACTAAACCCTAATTTGCTGCTAGAAACATATCCAACATGTCAACTAATTTGAGATATCGTCCAAGTGTGTGTATGACCGGAGCAAGGCAAAATTAGCCTCTGTAAGTTAGTATGCTCATGGAGCTTCTGCTAGGAAATTCAGACTGTGTGTGAGTGTATATATATGTGTGTGTGTGTATGTGTGTGTGTGTGTGTATATGTGTGTGTATATGTGTGTATGTTGTGCAATTTTAATAATTTGGTTTTAAATTATCTTCCCTGCTGTACTGAAATTTTAGCAAAACCGAGGTTTGTGCCAAACTATAACTGGTTGTGTTGCCACCTGTTGGAAAAATGGTATCTTTGCAAAATTTGCAATTTACTGTAGATTAATTGGTTAATTTCTGCAAACTTGATGAAGCTGGTGGGTAGGATGGAAGGTGACAAAAAGGACGCTCTGAGAGAAGCTCGAGAGAGAAGGCACTGTGTCAGAGAGCAAGCGTGAGGGTCGACCTCCATAATGAACGTGAGTGTACATCACATCTGTGACGCTTTTTGGAAGAATTATGAGAAATTAAAGTTTAACAGTCCCATAACATTCAATTACATTCCCTGAAGACAAACATGAAGGGTAACCATGGCTCACGTGGAGAAATGTGTGGCTCTGCAGTTTGGATGCTGTGTCAGCAAAAGCTGTTATATCTGCTGGGCCTGTGAGCGAGGCTCTTAACCCCAGATGATTCAGGTACTGCCTGACCCTCCTTCCGCATAAAGATGTAGGCCTGTTTTGCTTTGGATAAAAGTGTCTGCTAAATTAATCATATGCGTAAACGTAAAATTGGTACCTGAATTAAAAAAAGATGAAAATATCAGCACCTTTCTGTGCATCAGTTCCACTGAAATGGTGGAATGCAGCGTTAAAGTCATAAAGATGGAGGGGGGTGGAGGGGTTGGGGTTGGGGGAGTGCCGAGTCAGAGTGTGTGCTGATGGAATGAAGCCTCAGCCTCCATCACACTGACCCACACAAGCAAGATGCTTTTCTGCATAGACACATGCATCTATGCACATGTGTGTTCATTCTCTCTACTCAGCTGAAGCTCATGGTTATGGATTGCAGTTAAAATGCCCCCCCCCCCCCATCTCAGACGTGATCTGCCTTACTTTTAAAGGGGGAGTTGCAAGTGCAGTGCGTGACCTCATGTTTTTGTGGGTGACACATGAGCCTGATGAGGTCGAGCCAGCACCATGGCGATGGCTTGATGGGGCGGCTCTGGGCCTCTGTCAAGGCTGTTAGTGGGACAGTTTTATGGCCCACGCCCCCTTTCCCAGGCACACATACTGATCACCATGCCCCATTTGGCTTCGCAGGCTGGAGGAGCAGGACCGACAGTGGGGTGGGCAGCATGAGTATTTCACGTCTGTCAAAGACGGAGTTTGTTTTTTCCTGGTTGGTCGCCAGTGGCTGTGTAACACACGTGCCCCCCCACTTTTTTTTTTTTTTTTTTTTAGACACTACCCCAAGACCTCCTTCACCAGTGTGGCCGACACCCCGGAAAACCTCCGTCTGAAGCAGCAGAGCAAGATGCAGAGCCAGGTAGGGAAGGGCTGTCCGGCCCCCTTATACTCCTGCTCCTCATGGCTCCATCCAGCTGTGGAGTGTTACTGACCTTGATTTGTGGTGCCTGCCTCCTCCTTCCTCCTTCCTCCACACTCTCTGGATGCATCTCTGCTGGGCTCTGAATATGTCTTCACTCTCCAACATGTAGCATCCCACTATTCACATAATGAATGAATGAATTAAAATGTTATACACAGTGATATATACCTCACATTTAAACTCTGGGCCAGTCTTATACTTGCTAATCATTTCACTTGGCCAAGTCATTGTCTCTGGAGTAGAACAGCACTTCAGTACATTTTGAACCTGTGGGCCTCGTTCCTGCTCATTTGCTAGCAGACATTTTGCTCTCCTTTTTGCATTCTTTCTTTCATGTCTCTCTTCCTCGCTTTCCTTGCCTATCCTCCCCTTTCCTCTGTCAGTGCCTTGTCACATCTGGTAATTTGCCAACAGACACCCGTACCAGAGTGTAAAATTGAGCCTGACTCTGATTTCATGCTGCTCACTAAACATAATGACATTCCAGTTTCTCCTCCACTCTGCTCTTCTCAAGACGCGTAGCATTCCCATCCCTGCGCCTTGTGTTGGTGCTGGGCACTTGGCAGGTCGCACTGTTAGCGGGTGCTTAGCAGGTCAGGAGCCCCTCGGAGCACAGCCATCTGCCCTGGCTTCTGCCTCCCTGTATGCCAGCACCCCACCCCCCTCCCCCAGGTCCCTGCTCCATGCTGACCCTTGTGTTTCAGCAGTGATCAATGATATTTTGAACCTTCCTGCCTGTCTGGGAGCAGACATTTTAAATGAGGAAGTGAGCGGTTTCTTCTCTCTCCCCCC